GTATGTTCAAAAGATTTAACGTCAGATTTTCTAGTACATTCGAGGGTAGATTATAAAATCTGGATCAGTAAAGCATCAAGAATATAATTGGACTAAACTTTAAATAATTTTCATCAGATAATTTAGAAAAACCCACTAACAAAAGAATAACACTACAAAATTACACCAATTATTTCCAAGAAAATTCTGCGATACAAGTCCTTCCTCAAATAAAACTAGTTTATTCTTTCTCCATTACACTTTGCAATACACTTAATTTCCACAGTTACTTTCACTTAAACACACGCTGTAATTCACAACGATTCACGCACTTTACTTACGGTGTCCGCTTGACTGGATTATCCATGTCTATATCTTCAATCTCTCTATCTGCCACTATATTCTCGCCGTCACTTTATTTGCTGGCTTATATATTGTTATGACAGCAGAGGTCACGTGACCCTAGTAACACGTCATATTCTCGAAGCTTCGTGAATCCTCGGGATGTTACTAGATATACGGTATTCTTTTATATAAGACGGCGAAGAAGTGAAGGTAAGGTAAGGTAATTGAACTGCAGACAGATAGAGAGACATATTGTTGAATCGAGCACGTGAGGCGTTCGTTGTGAATTATAGCGTTTGTTATAGCGCGACTGTGAAAATTAAGTGTATTGCAAAGTTGTATTCAGAAAGAATAAACCAGTTTTATTTAAGAAAGGACTTGTGTCGCTAAAGTTTCACCAGAAAGATTTTTTACGGAAAATTAACTAACGAACGGTATAGTAACAATATTATAAAAGCTAAAAGCGTACATCTCGTCTCTTCGTGAATCTACTAGATACTCATCACGTGTTAGTAGCGTCACGTGATTTCCGCTGTCGTAACACTATATATATAACATCTAATACTTACATAGTTGTTTTCAAGATTGACCAGCAAACACGCTTAAATATGGAAATTGTGACATCAATTCCATGACTCTCACGATGTTTTTGGTCATTTTCATGATGACATGACTAATACAACAGGGTGAAATGGTAGTTCTGATGCCAGTGACAACTAAATTTCCAGTGACAACATAACATAGTTATTGTAGATATAAACATTTCACCTTTCTACATTTGCTTTCACTTCACTTCTGTGCTTCACATTCATTATAGTTGTGCTTTATGCAGGTTATAAGAATAATGCTTTAATGTTTAGCTTTTTTTAGTGGGTTCTTTTAAATTATTCTGTGAAAATAACTAAATGATTCAAGGTTCAGTCCACGTAAATTATAAAAAAATAATTAATTTCTTCCTTTCATGTTTCTATAAACATGAATATTGGCACTCTACCTTAAGCTGTGATAGGCCTATGTTAGAAAGACGTTAATTAAATAATGTAAGACAAAGCAAGTTACTTGTACAATGCATCTTAAAACGCGCGATAGCAAACAAAGATCTAACTACTTCACAAAGATGCATTGAGTGATTCAACTCTCTATCTAAAAAAACATATCTCCATGACTATCCTCCAACTGACTTCTTGAAACAACTCTACAGTCTTCACAACTATCTTGCATTTATAACAAAAAGATACGCAACCCTATAACCAAAGCGCTTTCAAAAGGTGGACCGATTCTTCAGGGGCAAACTGTATTTATAATCTAGCTTCGAATGCTTGACAGTAGCAACTAGAATTTTCTACATATTCTACGCCCTTTAGCTAACAAATGAATTGCAACATTAAAAATATTGTTTACAACAACAACATTATGATTTCACGGATACGTTTCTTCCCACTTTCTCTTTTAATAATACCATGATAACGTAATCAATGGTGATTTTGGAATTGGTACATGCCAGGTTAGTGTTACGACAGCGATAGTCACGTGACCCTAATAACATGTCATGATATTCTCGAAGGATCAGGGAACATCACGAATAATCCAGTATATGCTAGGCGCACTCTATTCCTGTATATAAGTGCGTCGGATAACGTGAGACAAATCAATCGGAATTGAATTGCAGAAAGAGATAAAGACGGATAATTGAGCCAAGCGCGTGAATCGTTCGTTGTGAATTATAGCGTTTGTTTAAGTTATAGCGTGACTGTTGAACTTAAGTGAATTTCAAAGTTTTATTGAGAAAGAATAAACTAGTTTTATTTAAAAAAGGACTTGTATCGCTAAAGTTTCTTCGGAATGAATTTTTACGGAAAATTAACAAACGAACAGAGACGTAAGATTAACATATATGTGTTCTAGTGACTGAAATTCATAGTAGGGTCGAAAATAGCCCTACTAGACTCATCCCTTTTAGGTATATAATTTCAACTAATAATTTTACAGTAATGTCATCGAATTTTATATCTTAGTGTGTTGTAAAATAAAAACTAAACAAAAATCTAGTTGAAAACATCATATAAGAACTATAAACAATAGTCTTGAAAAAATAACAAACTTTATTTTAACAAAGTAAATTATGTTAATATAATACAATTAATGTAACATATATTACATTTTAAAATAACAAACTTTATTTTAACAAAGTAATATATGTTAATATAGTACAATTAATGTAACATATATTACATTTTAAAAGTATTTGGCTTTTCATATATCTTTAGTTAATAGCACGCGGTTACTCGGTTTTACGCACGCGCGACCTTCACTGACCGTGGATCAACTGCGGCGACAGCGGCGTTAATAGAAGACGCCAAGCGCAGACTTGAAATAACGCAAACTCCGGGTAACATCGTCTGTTTTGCTTTTGACGTCTGTGAGCTAGCATTTACTCTTATCTTCCGAAACTATTCTGCTGTTAATTAAAAATATACTTTGTTTTGACAATTCTTTAGGTATTTGCAATGTCAGCCATTCCACAGTCTGATCACGAGAGAAGAAAGCAGATTAGTGTTAGGGGAATAGCACAAGTTGAAAACGTTACGAACGTAAAAAAAACGTTTAACCGTCATCTGCACTATACACTTGTAAAAGATCGAAATGTTGCCACTCCTAGAGATTACTTTTTTGCATTAGCCCATACCGTAAGGGATCATCTGGTGAGCCGGTGGATTCGAACACAACAACACTACTACGAAAACGATCCTAAGGTGTGTCAGTTTAATTTAACTTATTTAGATCCGACTACATGTTTTTCATTTTTAATAAATTTTAGGCCAAAGTCAACCTGTAAAAGTTAGTCATCTGTTGATGTGCTGTAGACAAAATTACTACTACTACTGAGTAGTACCAGTATAGTAATACTATAGTATTAGTGGTAGTAGAATTAATGTTGCATACTTTTCAAAGACTATTAGTATTAGTAGTAATACTAGTCAGTATTACTTTGTGTTACTAGGATTAAAGGTAATGTATCACTTTTCCTCAATTTTTTATTAGTTTTAAAATATTACTTTAATGCTTATTTAAACTTCACCGATCTAAGTATTAAGCATTACTTGTGTTAACTTTAATGGCACAGAGTTTTAAAAGAATAACTGGATAACCCATGACAGGCTTAAGTCATAAATAAATGTGGTTTAAACTTAAACTTTGAATCGCTGGTTCTTCTTTCCCCGCTGATTTCTCCAAGCCCGTTCTCTTGGCTGTGGTTTCGCTAGATAGAAGATAGGGACAGTGGGAATCTCGTTAATCCATTCATGCACGTCACTAATTGGATGACGAGGCATTTGGCTACCTTAAGAGAGTCATAGTTAAACTTAAAACTTCAACATTGACAGCAGTCAACGTAAGATGACTTGTAATTATGTACGCTAGGGCTAGTTCAAATCAATGTTAACCGAAATCGATAGCTTTAAGTCAACTTTTGTAGATAAAATAAACTTTTATTTGTGATATTGCAAATGCCGTTTCTGATTTAAGTTACAATAAAGAAAAACATTATAACAATTAATATTATTTCATAGTTTCCACAATATTCGTTTGTAGTGTAATAACATTTATTTCATATACTAATTGTATTTTTCTATCTGTGAAATTTTAATGTGCAGTGGGATAGTTAATTTTGTAGAATTCCTAACAAAATATAAATTAAATGTGTATATGTAAATGCTGGGGGCCTACCTCAATGGACGAACTGGCCTGTTTCTTACATACTGTTACGTCTCCGTTCGGTAGTTAATTTTCCGTAAAAATTCTTCCCGAAGAATTTTACCGATACAAG